ACATTTAATTACAAAATTGTGAATTCAAAATATATCAAACATATAGTTAGTAATTTAAGCTGCTTATTGTTAGACAACAAACCTCCAGAAGTATCTAATCAAACATACTCAGTTGTCCTTTGTGCGACTAATTTTACCCACAGTATAATGTCACAGTTTACTTTGTTATTGTTTGTTCTACAGAAGATATTACTTAGACTATTTAGTTTATAAATAGATGGCAAATTCATTACACTATTTGCAGGCTATATATAATGCTGGAATTGTTAGTAAAGTTCTGTTTATTTACGATTTCGATCGTTTAAATTATCCGAGTGCTGCCGAGTATTCCCAAGCTGGCGCTTTATTTATACACTACACGCACTTAGATTAACACATAAAATAAGTAAAGTGGGCACATAAAAGCCTCTGGCGTGAAATGTCGAATGTGTATGACTAGTGTTGCCAGGCGTCCGGATTATGACAGACAGTATTTATTTTGGAGCCAATGGGGTCACGGTCCAGGGTGGCAGGAAGAGGCAGCAAGTGTTAATTTCTTAGTTATTATTTCTTTTCTTTCATTATTTTATAAAAATGATGGTTTGAGAATATATTCCTTATTTTAGCGCATGTAGCGCTGTTTGTTTGCTAACGGTAGTTACTCAAAATATGACACAAAATTAATACCAATGTTTAGTTTACAATAACTTTATTTGACAGAAGCGAATAAACTTTGAATGTTCATATAACGAGTTGACATAGATCCACAAAAACTCAGCTTTTTACCTTTTTAATATATTATAATAATTTAAAAATTTTAACTAAAATATTTCCCTCTTTTCTTACACTTGCCTTTCGATTATTAGTTCTGTCATGATTGTCGTCATTAGAATTTCATAACTCTCGTTTTACCTTTAAACATTAATATGTTATACTACGTGTACACTACACCTAAAAGACAGCTTTTTAACTAAATACTTGGCTCAACTGATTCATTTATCCGATTTGATTTTAAGAATTGGCTACCTTATATACTGTTAATGTGCCTTTTATAGCTAAGGTTAGATCGGGCGCTGGCTACAATGCAATAATGACACAAAAGAATTTTCATTTGAGTACGGTCTTGTTCTCTACGAAACTCATCGTCGGGATCTCCCATCAAGACATTCCACAAGTTTTAAGGGATCGACAAAATATCTCCCGCTTCAGTTATTTCATTGGCGATGGTTCGTCGATAAATAAAAAGACAAAAGGTTCATTAGGAATGTACACGACAAATATTACTTTTATTTTGATAGTAAATGAGTCATTTATTTAAAAAATAGGATTTTTTGAAATATATACACGTTTATATTTAGTTATTAAGATCTTAACGAATTCAACAAGTAACAAGTAGCAGTTCAAAAAGAACGAAAAATGATTACGGAATGCAAAATAACTAAGTTATATGCTGACATCATGGACTTACGGAAATGACGGCTTAAAGAAAAGCAGAAAAGAAAAAGGAGGTATTATTTATGTAAAGCTGCAACAAGGCAGACTATGGAGACACCACATTTTTTTTTTTAATAAAAACATAAACTTCACAAATAATTTGTCTGTTAACTTTTTATGTAGGATTTTTACTATGCTAAGGGATTTAAATATTATTTATTACTCATAAAATATCAAAATCTATGCTTTGTTAATTTAGGTCAACCTAATTATGAATTAATATCGAATGAAAAAGACAAACCATTATGATTGTTATGAATGTTTTCATATATAAATAAATGTGTTTTAATAGTTTTCGGATTACAAAACTTATCACAGATAATATATGAATATACTCGAAGGTTCTACAAATTAGTATTTTATTGCCACATTTATTCTATAAATTTTGCTCAGTTTCTGTGCATATAATATAATTTTGATCCTAACATAAATTTTCATCTTGTTTATTAAGAACACTTATTGTGCATACTCGTATTATTGTTTTTTTTTCTATTGACTTGGGTCTATCAATCTGTAAGTTATATTTTTCTGCAATAAATAACTCCTTTGCATGCTTCTTATTAGATTCTCAGTACTCTCGTGTGTTTTATATTAGTTTTATACTAGTTAGTGGTTGACACGTGTTTTAAGTTTGTTTTGACACTTTGTAATGTTGGCTAAACATAACAGTAAGTATTTTGAATTTTGCAAATACAAAGTATGTCTCAAAATGTGTTTTAAATGAAATACAAAATGCAGTTTAGATAAAGGTAAAAAACTTTTTACTGATATCAAAATAGATATTTTTTAATTGCATTTTAAATACAAGTACTTTAAGTTACATTTCTGAATTTTGTTTCCCCGTACAATGATAGGCATTTGCCAAAGTTGCTCAACTTTTTTATTATTATTGTACATTAGGTTCATCCTTATAATAATTCCTAGATATTTTCATAACTTAAATACCAAATTGCAATATAGTCGCACGAAGTTAACTCATACGTTTCACGTTTTTACGCGTCATAAACACTACGGGAAAATGGAACAGCGGGATACTTACTAAATAAATACGTTGGCTTTCAGTTTTTATATAACCTCCGAAGGGAGTTTTAATATTATATGTTCCACCACGTGTATTAGTAACCTTTTCGTAATATTTATAAATAGAAGCGATTTAAAGTTGGTTTAATTTTCGAATAGTAGCGTGTTTTACCTTTAGCATTTCAAAAATGGTAGAGTAAAAGAGCGACAACTGAATTTGTCTTTATATAAATAATAGGATACAATGTCATTTTGCTGACCATACCGGATTCCTCTTTGAAATTTATGTTCAAATTGAGTTGAAAAACATGAATTATTAAAGTATGTACGGGTATGCGTATTTATTAAAAAACATATTTACAGTTTATTTGGATAATAGGGCATAAAAATGCTTGGTATGTAGTGGTGTTCAGTCAAGATAATTTGTGGCTTGATGTAGCTCGATCCAGTGGTTAGGTCCCGAATTAATCAAACGTTGCATGATGGCTGATTTTTGTGTGTTGTTATCCCGGACTGCTTAGATGTGTTCCTTCATTAGGCTCGTTGTATTTGGCCAATATACGAAGTACCACATCTGCAGTCAATCTTATAGACACCAGGGGCGCGACTGCCTAACTCATGGACGTAGCCGTAGTCGTAGCTATAACCTACACTTTATAGGTGTTCCACATGAATATGTTGTTATTGTTTTTAAAACTATTTAATCATTCACATATTTTTATTCACATATTTAATCAATGATTTTGGTTGTTTTTTTTTACTACAAAATGTCAAATTGATACAAACAATGCTAATTCAAAAAGAAAAACAAACGAAAATATTTGATGAAATATATGTTTTATAAAAAACAATTAATTTTATATGAATATAAACTGATTCATGAGAAATATCGGGTAGGTTAGAGCTATGACTACGGCTACGTCCATGAGTTGGGTGGTCGCGCATTTGGTTTCTCCAAATGGATGTTTCTTTAGAAGGTATCGAACGAAAAAGGACTAGAAAGAAGGTAGATAGATAGACATATCAGGCTATGTCACCGATCTGCAAAAACTTCAGTTACCCCGTGATCATGGATGCTTGTAACAGCGCCAAAATATTGGAAACTCAACAAAAAAAAGGCATGTGGCAGCAATCTCGTAAAAAAATATAATTCTAATGTAAATGACCATGAAAACTTAAAACAATATACAGATAGTTGATCTCTTGATTTATTTATAGATGTTATTAAATAAACAATGAATTAGTTATTAGTTTTATTCGTAACTAACATATTAGGCATAATCCACATATTTTCATAGCTTTCCGTTATGGTTATACTGTTAATATCTCTTTGGCTATGACCATAGATATCGGACTCTGTCAGTGTTATTAATAAAAAAGGTTTAGTGTTCATATTCATATTCAAATTCATATTGTTACGACTTAGGGTTCGGGATAAAAATTAACGCCAATTATAGTTCACAATCCGACAGCAAAATAAAATTACAAAAATAATCCTATTACAAAATTCACTATTTTACGTCACTAATAGGATTTCACAATACTACTAATAGTGTTCACTGCTCTAGTTATCACTTTCGGTCGCTTATTCACTGAAGAATGCGGGGACGGGTAGCCCACCGTGTATTTATAGGGGCCGATTCCACATCTAGAATGTTCTAGGTTAAGTCCTGAGGTTCGGCTTTATCGGTGTATTCGAGGCATTACCAAAAAGTTATAGAACAGCTACCCGTTCCCCGTATACCAATATGACCATATACCTATATGACACAGGTAGTTTCAACAGTGTTAGCGCGATTCATCGGCGCACAATGTCATCTAGCAATGCGTGGACAAACCACGCCACCGCGCTTCGTAACAATATTATTAAAGAGAGACTTAGCAAAGGTTAACCTTGTACTTGGTTCTACGGGAGTAATATTTACTCGTAGAAGGTAATATGTTTGCTTATTCTCTGTATAATATGTATTTGGACTAATACTGAAATTACAATTTAAGCGTAAATTTACTCTGACGTTAAACCTTGTTGATTGATAGCACTGTATAGGTATATGACATCATAAGTGATTGTAATTCTGTCATATTTTTATATTTCAAATACGCGTTTCTCAGCAAGTTCTTCATCATCAGCCCTTTTACGTCCCCACTGTAGGGGCTCGGGCCTTCCTTATGAATGGTTAAGGAGGATGGGCCATGACCCTCCACGCTGGCCCAATGCGGATTGGAGGGTATTAACGACTGGGACTTCCAAAGCTCGAGAGAATAATTATTTGGTCACCCATCCCGTGACCGATCCTTGCGGATGTTGCTTAACGACAACGATCGCGGGCCGCGGTGCTTATCCACTATGCCAACGAGATTTTAATAGTTTAAGTAAATTTAGTCTATAAGCTTTTTACAATAGCGTTATAAAAACAAAATACGCTCAATTTTATTACAAAAAAAAACTTGTCGAATTTTAAGTCAAATATATAATAAGCTACTCGAACAAATATTAGAGTACTCACCATTGACTTTCAGGAAGATAAGTTTGCTGAGGCCAGCTCCTATGTCGTTCCTGGCCTCGCACAGATAATGACCTTCGCTGTCTTTGGCGACCCTTTCGAAGACCAGAGACCCATTCTCTAACACCCGTGAACTGCCCTCGAACATAAAATCTTTGTATTCTCCAGGAGTGTTACCTAGTGGAGGAAATACAATGTAAATTATCACAATGGTGGAATTTTCACAAAAATGTCTATTGTTCTATTTTATATATCTATGACTTCACCCCAGATATCTAGCAATGTTTGCTGTTTTCGTTTTCTGGCTCGCAATTATACTTCATACGTTCAGAGTATGGTATGGTATGTCATGGTCATGATATGTTGTAATAAGAAATAACCTTAAACACCAATCACCATAGGCCATGAGCTAAAGATATGATGTTGAGAATTGTATAATATTTAAAAACGAGTATGTTATTCTATTAGGTCCTGGGAACAAGTTTACAATAAGCATGTTCATCTTAACGAGATTTTTATCCCTAGGGAGATAATTGGCAACTTTGTTCAATTGACCGGCGCCCTTAGATTTGCCTGCAACTTGTTTTTGGTGCCCTGGCTATTTCCATGTCGTGTTCTCTCTTAGATCGGACCCTATCTCTAACATTACGACAGCATCTGGTTAATTTGATCGGGAATGCTGTATTTTGATTTCCACCACTACATCGCTACACATTTATAATATTACATACATTCATATTCATAATATCCCATTATAGTAAATTAAAAAAATAAACCTAAGTTTAATATTGTTAACAAAAAATATTGTTAAAATAAAGTCGATCATGTAACTCTGAAAACAAAAATGTAATTATTAGAAACAACAAGTAAGAAAACAATACTCTTTCTATGTGCCTATAAACCAATATTAAAGAAATACATTTCCTTTAGAAGTATTTAGCTTTGTGATTGTGTTTTTATATTTTCTATATAAATAAGAGCTCGTTACTAACATGACTCGACATCCTGTGTCTCCTGATTATTAGGAGGACGTCAAAAGATTTACAAAGCTTAGATAATTGGCTTAGTAAAATTGAACAGAATGAGACAGACTTTTTTAAACATTCAACAATATGCCACCATAGACTTAAAAACACTCTAATATCATATAATGTCTGTGATAGATATCAATGTTTTTAAGAGCGCGTATACATTCTAAATTATTAACTTTCAATCTGAAGACCTACTCTGTTACTCAGAAAACGCAATTTTGCCTATTTTACAAATATATAGTCTAAAGAATCTATTTATCTAAAGATTTTATGATGCAACGAAGGTAAACACTGAAATTTCGCGAAATTTCGTTCTTAGTTAAATTGGGTAATCACGTCTCAATATGTTGTAATTAAAAAAATGGGAAAATTTTATAACACATCTAATGATTCTGTCACAGCGAAAACGTGAATTAAAAAAAAATGCACTAATTTATTCTATATCATTTGTTGTAGTAATGAAATCCTTTTTACTCCAATTTAAAGGGTATTCTTTTTGAGTTATTTTATTACTAACTTCTACATAAAACCTTTTGTGTTGTTGGGTAGCTTATCTCTATAAAAGAAATGGAACTAAACTGTTTTATGTGTAAGATAGATGGGACAATAAATTGTACTAGTAACCGCTTACTTACACGTTATGGTCGGTATATTATATTACTCACAAACTATCTAAAGCAATCTCAAATTGTCGTGAATTTGTTGCTATGTTATATTGGTTGAAAGAAAGTTTTTTTGGCTAGTGACAAATTGGTTAATAATCTAACACCCAATTGTACAAACGTCCATTAAAATGTTCATTAGTTAAAAGCGATATTACCGATACAAAGAACATTCATTAGATCTTAAAGTCATTATTAAACCTTAATGGACGTTTTAATATCTTTTAAATAAAATCCCTTCAGAATATCGTTATTTGTGCGGTATTTATACGTAATTTCTGAGATATTATTTATGGTTTAATTTGTCGGCTGTTAAGAGGCCCTTTCCAAAAACGAAATTGATTAACTTGCTGCAAATAGTACTGTGATGCATACTTTACAACTGGATTTTGGCTTTAAGATGTTCTTTTAAATTGACCTTTAGCGAAGCAGATGTCAGCAGACCAATCCTAGGTAATGATTTCCTGAGTTTCTACAACTTTCTTATCGATTTCAGGAATCAGAGATTGATGAAACGACGTCACTTTCAGTCGCTGCTATAAAATATAATTTTGAGCATAAAGAATTGATCAAGCTTTTGAGTGATAATACGAACTTTCACTATATTTTGTAAGCGTATCCTGACATAATAAAACCTGCAGGCATTTCACAAATACTTAAGCATCATACTCTGCACTACACTAGATTACAGTAGTATTATGCAAGCCTGGGACCGATGATTTGAATCCTATTCATGACAAGGCTGCCAATAATGAGCTCAACGCTATGATAGCTAGTAGTATATCTAGATCCTCGAAGAGTCCTTGGTCTTTAGATCTGCATTTAGATTACAGACGACTTAATTCACGTACAATTGCTGACCGTTACCCAGTTCGAGACATCTACGATTTTTATTTTCGAATCAGGATCTAAAATATTTACCACATTATAGCCTATAACCGAACTCCAGTTAATCCAGACGATATTTCAAAAACAACTATTACTACAACTTTCGGTTTATTTGAATTTTCCTACATGATTCAGATGTCGAAACGAGGCACAAACTCTTCAGAGACTCATTGATAAAGTGCTTAATTTTTAAGAGTTCTGCAACGGTTATTTCGATGAAATTTTGGTATTTTCTCGATCTGTAGAGAATAGATAGAGAAGATATAAGCATGGCAGGAAAATCTGAGCAGACCATCATTGAAGCCAAATATTGTACCACTCTGCCAGCAAAAGTTGAAAAAGGAACTCGCAGTGGCCGAAGAGTTCGTTTTTCAGATGTTTATCGACCTTAGTTACGGTCTGGGCAGGGGGAATATGTGGTAGTACCATAATTCTATGGATTTTCTTTTTGACGAGCGAGAGTAACTTGACTACTAATATTTTAATGAAAAATTTCGTTTTCGTCATTATTACGCTATATACTTTACTCTTTGTTCTTACGTTGTTCTATGTTTTTTACTTCCTGCAATTAAAGTGAATTTTATTAAATTGTTTTTATTTACATATTGATGGCTCATCACAAGTATCATTGTTAGAACTAGCCAGCTATATATTTTTTTTAAGCTATACATATATACATCGGTAAGAATATTTTGACAGTTTGACGGAATAGAGCTGTTTGCGTTACCCTCTCAGTTTATAGTAATTAGGCAGAAGCTCTTTAACTTCTTCACCCTGAATAAGTCATGATGTTTTGTTACTTTTGAATATTCAATGTATGTTCAGAATCAATATTATCCTTCTCATTTGAATGTATTATTATTTAATAATTAATTTTGTATGTTTTCAAAATTAATACGAACCGACAGCTTTTTTCCACATAATGGTTGGTTTCGGGTAGCCGTCAGCTTGGCATTGTAAGGTTACATCTTGTCCTGCAGCAACTGCCACGTCATTTGGCTCCAAACGCCATCGAGGTGGAACTGTACCGATTATATAAAATTGATATTTATTTAAATAAGAACTTTGTTATTATTCGAAATAATTTAATGGCAGATATACAGAGAAATGTTAGTTTGTGAAAAGGTTTCCTTAAGAAATTGGATTGATTATCAAGAAATCATGTAGATAAAAACGATATTTACCATTGACTGTAAGTGGAACTGTGAATCTTTCTGATCCGGCAACGTTGGAAGCAATACACGTATAATTTCCACTGTGTAGTGACGTAATATGTTCGATGACCAAGGAGGCGCTGTATTCGTCCATTCTTCTCGTGATTATGCCACTTGGCGCGTAAGGTGATGACGTCACGGGTTGCCCATTTTTCTCCCATCGAAAAGCTATTGGCAAGTCGCCCTCCAATATTTGACAAGATATCGCAGCTCTCATCCCTTCCCTGAGGAAATTTGTGAGCGGCTGAATAGGCAAGATTTTCGGTTGCACTGTAACAAATGAAAATTGTTTCGAATTTATTATTTCTAACGGCCTTATGTCTCTTTATTTTTGTATTGTTAATTATTTTATATGTTTTTTATTGTGATAAAAAACACATCAATCGTCTGTCAACCCAACGCCTACAATATTTTACGTAATTATTTCGTCCAATAGTTGAGTTCTTTATATTATTTTTTATTGCCCTATTAAAGCGAGGCTGCAATTTTAACGCTCAGTAGATGCCGCGGGAACGGTAAACGCGCTAACTTTAATGAATTACGGATGAGTTACTCCACCCCTACTGAATTCGTGATTTTATAGCCCTTTAAATCTTACTAAAGAAAATGAGAAAGTTTATACCTGATTTCAATTGTTCTTCGACAAAATCTTCAGAATCAAAAAAAAAAACTATTACAGCCTAAAAGGTCTTATGTACCTAAGTTCCTAATAGAAATGATTATAATCTTTGATTGTGTGTTGTTGTTGTGTTAAATGAAAATATCTGTTGAAACAATTATGATTTATATATCAAGTATTAAACCGTTAATTTATTCATGGTTTAACATAATGAAATGCTATGTTAAACAAATAATTTAAAATATTTTTGTTGGGTTATAACTTTGTCAACAAATAAGTTTGTAAAGTTATCAAAGAACCGTGTCCAATTTTGACCTAATAACACCTATATCACGTCACGTCACGTCTAGTAATGTGATATATCTTAAAATGTAGCTTATTTTTAACTCCAGATGAAAAGATACTAAGATATTATTCTATTTTAAAAGTGGACACGATTCTTTAAAAAACATATAAAACTTGTGCAGTGTTTGTTTCCATAATATAACAATACAGGTTTATGAATGTTGTTGCATTATATAGTGTTTATCTGTATCATTATTCTCATTGCTTCATAAAGATCAGACTCTTAATATACATACTACATTAGCATATATTTTTTTTTCAATAGATTCCTAAAGGGAATCAAACCATATTCCACATCGTCGTCACGCACGATTTTACGTATCGCAAAACAGGAGATCAGACATCAATTAGATGAAAAACTAAATTGTTTTTGGTTAAATAGTTCATAAAGTTTAAAGAATGTACCTTTTTTTTTATTAAATAACAATGATTTATATTTTTGAATTAGTAATAATTTTTTTTTTTTAATATTTATAGTCTGTGTTTCACGTCAACCGAAACACCAATCAGAGCTCCTGATGTCATTGATGGGTAAATTGTTAGAAAGGCGCGGGAAGCAAGGGTCATTATTTTATTTTATTTATTTGTGAGTTTTGAATATAAAAACAGCATATGATATTTTTTTTTCATCGGAAATCCCTTTGTTTACCTTTCATATGACTTCACGGCCTCCACTGTTTACGTGGTTTTTATACAGTTAAATTAAAAAAATACATATTTTTGTGTACATAATAAGGCTTATTTACACAAAATATTTTTTTTGTGGGAATAAGAATCCGTATAGATTAATTTAAAACAGTTTATTCTTATTGTTCAATAATAATATAATTATCGTTCCAAACCTTTTTTAATTGCATACATTCTTACCTAAAATTTGTACTTCAACGTCTCTCCTTGCGGCATGTCGTTGTCGGTTTGCAGCTTGACAGGTGTAAGTACCAGCATCTTCGCCACGTTGGGTTTGTTCCACCACTAGCGTTCCATTGGGGAATACCTTTTGCCGTCTATTCAGTGGTAATGTTTGACCATCTGAATAAACAAACAATGAGAAATTTTAATAACGATAAAGAATCGAAAGGAAACACATGGTCTCTGATCCTTTTCAGAAGAAAACAAATGTAGAACCAAAAGAAGGAAAAAAATCGGGAAAAGATCTATAGCTAAAGTACATATAAATATACCTTTTATTATTGTTAAGCAGAGATCTACAATGTAATCCTTAGTTTAGAAATAGATATTACCTACAATTTTAATTTATTTAATAATGTTTTTGCTGATTTCCCAATAACATTTTATATTAATTGTATTAAAAACATTTGCTCATATATGGTGACCTGTCCTTTCGACAAGATTTTTCTGATATCTTTTTGTGATACATGCTGTTAGAATTTATAACGATTGGATTGATATCTTTAACATTCATGTTAATAAGCAATTTATAAATAACGTTAAAAGTCGAAAAACTGGCTTCGTATCTAGGTCAAAACTCCGACGCTGACGCGAATAAATTCTAATTTTAAATTGTAAGCATGCAAGCGGGTCCAGTGACTCGAAATTCGCCGTTGAGTTGGGAGTGGAATGAAATAAAATTTGGTCCGCGTCGAATGGCAAAGTTGCTCAATGTGGCACGCCTTCCTTGCTCGATTTACAAATTAAACGGCGGCGTAAGGTTAAACAGAATGGAGGATTACTGAAAAATATTCACAGATCCATGCAAATTAGAGTGTTCGTCAGCCATCTGTTTACGCTCAGAATAAAGTTATGAATGCTTATACATTTTTAACTCCAATATTATTAGCTAGTGGGAATGAGGATATATGTAAGTGTAATAACAATTAATAAATTCAGTACACACAGGAACCGATAATGGCAATAAAGAATAATAAAGAGCAAAATGTAAAACATATTTTTTACAAATAAACTTGTAAAAAGGATGGTGTCTTTCCAGCCAGTCGACAACATTAAGAATGTTTTGTTAGTTTTAAATATCGGTGGGTACTATTGTTATAAGAATCTATACTTGGCAAATAATTATGTTAAGTACAACAGTTATATAATTTACTTCATTGGCTACCCAACTTTTTTTTAGGCTTATCAATGGGAAATAAATTTTAGTTCCTGCTAAAGAATTCAGAAATCAGAATGCTTGGGTCAGTTAAACGAGAACGTTCTATTAAAAAGATAAGGCCCGTTGTTGACAAGGGTCCGACCCTGTAAAAAGGAAAAAATGCAAAGGAGTTACCTCTCTTCATTTTATCTCACATGGCAATAGAGAAATGTATGGGCAGCGAATATTTGTGTTATTACATTTTATCAACGAAGGAATTCTTGTTATTAGGACAGTTTATGGAGTTGTTAATATATCGAAATGTTAATAAGTAAACTTTAAATATATATATAATTTGTTTAATGACGATGTTATTTTGTTGTTGTGTGCAGATATATCCTTTTTATTACACTAAACTACAACTACCAGAGACTAGCGCTTCATTATGATAAAAGAAAAGTTTTGAATTATTGGTTGTGTTTATATTAAAATTTAGCTATTCAAAATAGTTGCTAATCGAATAATATGACTGAATTGAGACAAAATTTTGTAAAGAGTTTAGAATATAACTTTGACTTTACGGGGAATGTTACTGTCTTGTTTTGAAAACAGATAATAATATGAGATTTTACCATTTCGATGTATACTATGTACATTATAAAAGTGGCTACTATTTTGAAAAAAGAAACAAATCATTGAGCCTGTAGTTGGTCGGTAAATATTCTAACCTATCCTGACCAATCCCTTACGCTTAATTATAAAGTTACACAACCAATTGATACTAGTTAGACCTTGTAAACTATGCACATAAATGCAGGTCACGCATTCAACAGACAAGAATATTTAATTTTATAAGTTCGTTAGCAGTTTTCAGCGTCATGGACGCAGTTAAGGAAAAACAGGGTTAGTACAAGGTTAGAATAACTTAGATTTGCCCCTAATTGGATCGTGCGAAGGTGTCTACTTTATTAGATTGCGAGGCGCAATTTTCTCTGCGGTAGGGATATTACGGACGGTAGATGTAACATCAACATCTTTTTATGTTGGAAAAAGTAAAAAACAAATTCGACGAAATAACAGACTTTTTGGGACATAATTTAGGAAGGGAAATTCGCCCGCGTTGAGGCGTCTGACATAAAATATAATACCTACTAACATTTCAAAAATTGCCTTTTTATAGAGACATATATTGTACAAAATAAATCCTAGTTCGTGGGTTTGATAATTAAGATTGGTCGATAAGTCTGAACGTTTCGCTAGCCTTTCCAAAGTGGCTATTAACTGCAGGCGATTAATTTCTTGGGCATGGTCCAAGAATACATACGATGTGACGTTAGGTTAATTGAGAAGCCATTTTAAGTTTATAAGTTCATATGCCAAAAGGCATTACTCGGTGGTCTAATGGTAAAAGGGTTATTTTACGACCGCCATCTGTTTCCAGCAGATTGTAATCAGTAGTATCTTCGCTACATTGAAAAGAAATTTCGAAAAATTTGTTAAAGTTAGATGGAATTACGCAAGGGAAAATACTAAGATGCTGCTCACTAATTAGATGGTCTCCATCAGTTCAGAGATGCAAAATAGACAGGACGATAAACTGTTTTTTTATTAATTTAATATACAAAGTGAAGTAGTAAAATCTCTTATTAAGTTCTAATTAAGCGAACAAATTAAACAATATGCACATAGCTGAATTAACATAGCAAAAACGTTTTATTTGTATCTATTAGCAAATTGGAGTATACGTTTATTTACAACATGTAAGTCAAAACACTAGAATTTCCATTTAATTTAATTATATTTTACTCATATTTTTTTTTCACCATTTTTAATTTATAACAGTTTTTCATTGCAAAGTTAGGCAACTTTAAATAAAGATAGATTTTAATTATCTTTAAAAAATGTCTGAAGCATTATTTTAATCAACTGGCCATTCCGCTTATTTTTATGATTACTATGACAAATATAAACTATATAAAAAACCAGCTGTTTTACCGAGACTTTGGCTGCGTAATTAATAGCCTATGTCAATCTCGCATTAAGAAACTTTCTGAAGATGAAATAATTTTTAGAAATGATCCAGTAGTTTCGGAGCCTGTTCGGTGCAAACAAACAAACAAACAAAACTTCCCTCTTTATAATATAAGTATAGATATCTCTGTAATATCAGAGTTCATAGGAACAACAACCAATATGACGTCAGCGTATTGCCCTTGTGGAAAGAATTCCAAAGTTTCCTGATGTGTCGATTCCTTATCCCTAGTTTCCTTAACGACCTGTTGCTACGGAGGGAGCCGGCGACGACCTCGCTTGCCCTAATTCGATACTATTTTATCGAAGCGCCCGTCTCATAGTTTATCCAGACGTCTTATTATGTTTTCAAGGAGTCGTATATTACCACTGCCATTTATTTGCAGATATATCAATATTTTCCGAACCACCTGTTACAGTGCGAAGACTTGTTATAATATTATTTTACTTACTGGAAGTTTCTAAAGCTCTAAAATAAATAATTATAGCTGTTTACAGCTGAACTATTTCAATAGTCTATTTAGGGTCCCGTACTCGTATCCGACGGGATTCCTACGACGATTTTCCGACTCCGCTGTTCGTTTGTCTGACAACAGCTGTATCTCAAGAACTGGTATAACTAGACAGTTGCAATATTCACAAATATAATAATAATAATAATTCATAAAAATAACAACAAATATCAAACACAATTAAAAATAAATATTTTAGGGGTTTTCCAATACAATAATGTTATATGCGTTTTCAGCGTTCCGTAGTAAACAAGGAACCCTTATAGTTTCGCCATGTCCGTCCGTTCGTCCGTGGTTTAACTCAAAAACCATTGTTACTAGAAAGTTGTAATTTGGCATGTATACTCATACCGATTGCGTTAGTTATCACGTTAATTACGGCGACAAAGCGGTAAAATAAATCTTAAAAAATACAATTTTATGGTTCCTCCCCTACATGTAAAGTGGGGATGATATATTTTCCCCATAGTGTAGGGCATCATTGGACAGGTCTTTCAAAAACATGGGGGTATGGGAAGGCCGTTTTTCGATTTGGTAAATCGTTTGTGACTTATTAAGCTTTAAGGATCTAAATTTCGTTAGAGTCAAGTGTCCCCCCCTCTACCAACTGAACGGTGGTTGGTAAAAATTCAAACGTTACGGCAGCAGTACTTTTATATAACGAAGTTAAAATGAGATCACACCTAAACTAGCTTTACAAGTTTACGATTAATAGTCGAGCAATTGTTTTCAACTCGAAAATTTCAAACACCTCCATAGAAAACAGCAAACGATTATTTTTAACTTTTTTAATGATTAATGGTATGGGCTCGCGCTTGGTTAGTTTTTTTATTTATAGATAATGGGACCAAACCTAATGCGCGATAATTATGCACGGCCCGACTCTTATTATTAAATAATAAAAAAATATTAAAATAACTCAATACTTTCTGAATTTTTAAGTGCGGACTTATTTTTATCGGACTTACTTATCCAGCGTGTCTTTACGCAGACGTCGTAGAAAATAACTTTAGGACATTATATCTTCTAAAAAGGTAAAAGAGAAAGTTTTAACAAGATAATTTTGAAATATTAACAAAATAACGGAAAAGTATTTTCTACATTCCGAGGCTTAAAATATCCAGTAGGTATCTTGGCATTTTATTAAATATTTTATAGGCGTTTCAGATCGTTTGTGAGTTTCGTTATTGCTAGTCAAATGTTGACATGATCCATGAGGAAGCTTTCAAACGAGTTCGCGTGGTGTTTTATTAAAGAAGGAGTTGAGATCAGATGATCATGTGAGTATATAATATTTTATAACTCTAGACATGCCTAACGTAGATACCTAATAATAATAATAAATATTATTATTGTTCTTCAGTTCAAGATTTCAAATTATTTACTATGTTAGTCGACAGCACAAAATGTTTTAAATCTTAATATTTTTATAGGTAAGTTCAAAATTGATTAGAGAAATGTTTTTTGTAATAACCTTATGCCTATTGTGTGTATCTAATACTCTATTGTTTGGAAATTGTTCAGAATAATAAAAATATTTATTGTAAAAAAATAAACAGATCGCCGTCTGTGGACGTACCACGTGTATACAGCGTTACACGTCAGGTTACAATAATATTTCAAATTTCCACAATTGAACTCTACCTTCAACGAATTAAGGTTCAAATGGAGAAGTTTGATAGTTTTGTATAATCTGACAAGCTGTTGATTGTAGAATCGCTAGTATAATTTAATAATTATTTCACTAATTAAATTTAAATTAATTTACAAAAGTGTTGATCGAGATGAATCTTTAATCGAAACTTCTATCTTTAATAATAAAGCTGAGTTCGTAACTTTAAATAAAAATTATCTTTGTAAGATATTAATATCGTAGATAAAGGAGTATTTGCATTTTATTAAAATTATACTCGCGAAATATTCAGTGTTTGAGCAGAGCAAGTAGATAATATGATTTTACAAAACTCAGCAAACCGTATTAATTATGTACATAATAATATTAAATGTATTGTACACGCATCCTTTGTTATAACGTACCTTTGTCCTTATTTAAAAAGTTACATTTTTAAAAGAAATAAATATTTTGGTCAGTCAAATGTGTGTGGATATTACGTTCTGATATGTTTCGTTTCAAGCATTATAATTCAAAGTAAGTTGCATTATAAGATAAAATACTTCTATATATATATAACTCAAAGGTGAGTGACTGACATAGTGATCTATCAACGCATAGCCCAAACCATTGAACGGATCGGGCTCAAATTTGGCATGCAGGTAGATTTTAGGACGTAGGCATCCGCTAAGAAAGGATTTTGATCAATTCTACCCCCAAGGGGATGAAAGTTTGTATGAAACTTTGTTAATTTTAAACCGATCGGGCTGAGACTTTGCATGCCTGAAGCTACAATGACGTAGGCATCCCCTAAAAAAGGATTTTGATAAATTCCACCCCTTACGATCAAATCTTTCCTCTTCTAATATTAGTATAGGCTAAATAATGTGCTTTGAAATAATTCAAAACTAAAATTTTCGTTTACAACAAGCTTTTGATATTTAATGGTATTATCTTGGATCAGAGATCTTGTTTAGACAAACCAAATGCGTTACTTAAATATAAAACTTCTATAGCTACGTTCTAGTTCTACGAGGACAAGTCGAACGAGCCCAATTTCAACAGAGTTCTTCCGGCTCCATCATCAGATCACTTTCATTACACATTAACATTACGTTATCATCTAGGTGCAAAATTTATGCAAAATTTCAGCTCAATCAAAGCGGGAAGTGGGTCAAAAGTTTGCAAGATTTGATTCACACTAACAAATAACTATAAGTAATATTGCACTGTTAAGTTTTGTTACTGATAAAAACTTTATATTAAAGATTTGAAGCTAGTAGAGGCAAAAGTTACAAATCAGGTCTCTTTATTTAAAATATATATATAATCTATAATAAATGTATATAGAAATATTAAAAAAATACGAAAATAGATTAACTTCTTAGAAAAAATATTGCTTTAATAGATTTCACAATCTGAATTCTGACATCATATAATATAGAAGTCCTTGCATTGAAAAAGGTCAATGTTTCTATAAGTGAATTTTCATCGGAATTCAGATAAAAGTATGAATAAGAGGCAAAGAGTTAGTAATTCACTTTTACACTTCAAGCAGCCAAGTAAAATTCGAATTTTCTCTTTTCATTACAAACCTATTTATTAGGATCATATTCTCCGACATATCGTAGAGATAAGTTTTATAAATAAAGCTATCCTTTTACGATTTTGGAAGTTTATAGCAACTTTATAATATAAAGACTATATAAAATATTATTGATAACGGTAGTAAGTTTGTATTATCGAAAAGTAAATAAACCAATAAGATTAAAAACGCGGCTGATAAAAACGACCTAACAAGTAAGCAATCAAGCCAAAAACGAACTGACAAGTAAAATAATGATGTATTTGTCACATCCATATATTAACATTTTTAAGGATAACGCCACTTGGTTACACTATTTCTCTTTTACACTGTTATCATGGCAAGTATTAAGGTTACGTAGCAAATTCTCTTTGTTGCCAAACTTCCGTACTATTATGGGGTATAGGATTTAAATTGTCATTGCAGTCGGGGTACACTTTATTTAAAGAGGTTTTAACTCAAGAACGACAATCGTATACAATGAAACGAAATGTTCATTATCCTTAAACTTTCTTGATGTGTACGCAGACATACAACAACACAGTGCGGTTTGCAATCCTACCCCTGAGATATACTAATTCTTCCAGTGTCTGCATTTGTGTATATTTAAGTCTTCTCAATACAATTTCTACGAATAGCAACCAAATACAAATTATATCCTCATAAGAATTCCATTATTCTTAAATATTTTTTTTAACTGCATTTCTAGACTGTGGTACAAACAAGAAAAATATATATATATACATACCTCTTTCCCAAGTAATAGATTCAATTGGGTATCCAGCCACTGGACACTTGATATTTAAGTCACTTCCAGCAACCGCTGTAACTTTGGGCATCTCTCGTATATATGGCAGGCCGTAGACATTCACCCGTGCCGAATGGAATGCTTTCCCGGCGGTATTGCTTGCAACACAAGCGTATTCGCCGCCATCTTGTTCTGTTACTCTACTGATGTTGAGATGGCTAACGACGTCATCTTGTAAAGTAACATGCTGGCCAACCACGAATCTGATGACAATTATATATAGCACAAATTGATAGTTATTTATCACATTTTAATAATGTTTTTATTAAAGAAGATTTTTAATGTTTTTTTCAAACCTAAACCGTTTTATTATAAAATAAGGATTAAATTTAGTAGTGAGCTAATTGTCTAATTTCCATATCTGTTGTAACCCTTTTAAAAGGTATAGTGATTGAGATTGATCGATGACGGGCAGCGATTTATGGAATCGTGTACCTTGCAAAGGCGAAATCGTTTTCGACCAATGACGATTTGAATAATAAAGTAACATAATAAAAACTTAGTTAAACCCGTCAAAAAGTTGTAGTTTGTATTGAACTCTTGCATTTAACATTTCTGGATAGATATTAGCGTCTTACGCTTTCCTTAGACAATTCCAATTAACGTCAAATTAACTATTTAAAAAAAGTCGCGAATGCAATCTCTATCACATATCAAATAGTTGTAACGTGAAGTTCTTGAATGTCCTTCGAATGTTAAATTTAAAGGGATTTAAAATTAGACAACTAGTCTCCAGGCTTAACGACCAAAATAAATCAACGTGTCTCAATTAAACATTTTATTTTCTGACGTCTGAATGTTTAAATGAAATACCTACATGCTATAGTTTTTGTTTTATAATAAGTCGGTTAGAGAATTGTGAAATTACCTTGAGTTAGTGGGAATAGGAAATCCATCCAACAGCCACGTGAATTGAGGAGGTGGATGACCCATGGCCACACATTTAAGTGAAACGCTAGGTCCTGGTTGTAACGTCTGTTCCGAGAACCAATATACCAACTCAGGTTTCGTTTCTGCAAAAAAAAAAAGAAATAGGTACTAATGTAAAAGGCAGTCATCACACCATATCTCTACACTTAGGTTTGTTAATCTTTAGAAATACGCGAGTTTTTCCTTCTTTGCAACAGTAAAATATTCGTTAGTTTAACTACTAGCTGTGTCAGTGACTTATTAGATATCAAACACAAAATCATAGATTTTTTAATAACAAGATGTCAGAAGTTTTTTTTTGTATGGTGAATATAAAATATTAAGTGTTGTGTTTAAAATATATAAAAAAAAAAATAAAACGTGTTAATAATTCGAGTGTCTGTTGTTGCCACTGCATACTTCGTTAGACTGCTTTAATAACAAGGTTCAGCTGTTTATAATAAGTTACTCCTTATTACTCGTACATAAGCTATCTGCCGGTGAAAGTCCTGTCAAAATTGGTCCAGCCATTTCATAGATTATTTGGAACAAACAGACAGACAGACCAAAATGTAACAAATGTTTTGGTATACCTATGTACGATGCATACATATATTATGCATTTATTAAAAAACGTATTTGATTGTCCAATTCACAATTTGCTGGTAGATATTATAAAAATCGTTCAGTATAACATATTATCATAATGTTAATTCAGACTAGATTTTTTCCCGTGACTTCGCCCCCGTAAATTATAGCTTATGTCAACTGCGTACGATGAAGGTTCCAGTCAGTAAAATAACCCTGTAGTTTCTAAGCCTATTCGATGCAAACAAACAATTTTTTCCTCTTTATATTAATATAGATAAGGCTCCGTTTTAATTTGCGTATCAAGTTATCATCTAAGCTATATAAGCTAGGTATTCGCGTCCCCTTGCAAATCCTCCGTCCGGGTTCGGAGGCACGCCGAGCGTCGTACAGAGGTGTTGTTTTTTAGGGCTCCCTACCAAAAAAAGAAAAACAGAACCAGATACGATCTGTTTCGCCATCCGTTTGTCACAGTCGATTTTCACCGAAACTACCAGACGGATTTAATTGAAATTTGTTACAATAGTGACCCAAACAGGGCCATCTAACGTAAATAAATTAATGTTATTGCGTAAAATTTTGAAAAAAAAAATGCAGAAAGTAGTACTGTATACTCATAAAAAAAATCTATACTATGGTTTTTAAAATCTCAAATTAATGCGGAACCATAGCTGTGCGAATCGAACTCGCTCTTTGTCGGTGTTTTCGTAAACAATGAACTAAGAAAAAGCAGGCGCGTTCCTTGGAATGCCATAGACCCCTGTTTGTTTTGCAAATCCCTTGTTATTTTAGGGGTTGATAATCCTTTTGGAAAATGCTTTGGCGCGCTTTTGTTTTTCTTTTGGAATCTAAGAAAATGTGACAAGAGCTTGCTTAATTTTTGTGCTTAGCAGATTGCCCAAGTGGTTGGAATGTAGGAGAGTTTATGAATTACCGATAATATAAAAAATGGAATACTTTTGTATTTGTGATTTTTAATTTTCATGGTAATTAATTAACATTACAATACTTGTTAACTCCGTGATTGGTATCATTTACCTTACTAAAATATAAGGTGCGTACATGAAGTAGCTCGGTGGCGTAGTGGATAAGCGCCGCAGCCCGCGATCGTAGTCGTTAAGCAACTTTCGCAAGGGTCGGTTACGGGATGGGTGACCAAACAATTATTATCTCGAGTTACTCCGTGCTTCGGAAGGCACATTAAGCCGTGGGTCCAGGCTGCATTTGCAGTCGTTAATACCCTCCAACCCACATTGGGCCCGCGCGGACATGGCCCATCCTCCTTAACCATCCATAAGGAAGGCCTGAGCCCCTGCAATGGGGACGTAAAAGGGCTTGTGATGGTGATGACATGATAGCTATTCCGTAAATAACAATCATTCTAATACATTTGTATAGTTCCGAAGTGAGTTTCATTACCATCAGCCTAGTAATGTCCCACTGCTGGGGCATAAGACTTTCCTGTGGATAGAAAAGCATCTCTTATAGGGAAGATGGGTAATGTCTGGCAACGTAAGTACAGTCTGGATTAATTTACTGGGCCAATTTAAGTCGATAGAACAAACGAAATATTATTAGACCCACCCATGAAAGGAAAAGTTCATACGTCATATTTGTGTTTTGGGCGTATAAAAAGTATGTCATTATGTAGTAAACAGTTTTTAAGGACCATGCAGGCGAAGCCGCTGGCAGAATGCTAGTAGTCTATAAAACTGTATGTAACATATTTTTTACATTCCAATCATAATGGAAAATACTTCGTCTAACAAGTTTCATATTTTTATAATACATTTTGACAACGTGTCTAAAAATCTTTTAATTATAAATGTAATTAAGCAGGACGTGGCAAGTTAACGAGTTAATTAGTAAAAAGGGTCAGATATTACCGTAATATATTAACATAGTTTTCAAACACACAGGGAAAGTATTTTAACAAGACGTTAAAAAAATATATTCATGACTTTAAAAAAATAATTAAAGAAGATTTAACAATTATTATATGTTTTATTAAACAGCATCAGTATACATTGCTCAGATACCAAGTTAGGTAAAACATTTGAATTATGAAAATTTGAACACAAACACACCACCTTTAGAAACTCATAACCGGGTTTTAAATGATTTTTTTGTTGTCTAAGAGTCCATTGTTAATGGCGTGTAATAAGAATGGATTAGATTTATATACAGTAATTCCCCGAGACTAATGTATTGTAACGGGTTCAAACAAATAGTACTTAAAGGTACATTTAGTGTTGGACAATTTATAGTCAGTTTCCATTATTCGGATTTCCTGTTGCTTTAAAATAAATTACAACAGTACAGGATTCTGTTGAGTGTAATGGAATACATTTATTTCAGTCTCTGGTCTTGAGCATAACAGATTTACAGATAGATCCTGATGTGGAATATTATGTATAAATAAAATAAGAATAAAATTTAAAACACGATTTTTAGTTATAAACTATGCATAAAAAATGCTTGAAGATCTCATTTAAAGTTGAAAACAGATGGACAGATTTAAGTAATTTTGGTTTTAATATATTTGTAGAAGTCCAAGTAAAGTCCTAAAATGTAAGAGAACAATCAAGAAATTGCAAAGAAAATAGTAAAAGCGAAAATTTTATTTTTTATACAACTATCAGACAATGATATGTTCTCTACCTTTATTCGATTTTTAGTTTGTATACATTGAATAGGACTCGAAACTACTGGGCCTATGTTAAAAATTCTCTTCCGTATTGGAAGCTACATCATACACGGGTGACATAGGCTATAATATAGAACAACTAGTTTATTATTTTTAACTAATTCAACTCAGTCTGAATAAATACTCATAATTGTTTATTTTAATTTAAAAAAAAATCGGAAGATGTTATCTTGTCTTGAATGAAATCAAAATTTAAACACTATCCGTCTTATTCATGAGGTCATTCTGATATGCACACAAAACAGATGGATATAGTAGAAGATTAAAAGATGTCTATAAAACTAGAATAATGCCATCTAACGCCCGATTACGAAATAAAAATATATAAATAATCTAAGAACAGCGCTATCTAGGAATTTTATTTATAATTAATAGGCATATCTTTATGACAAATCTGACAGCTGTCGCCATGGTGACATTCAGACAAAAAATATAAATCGTGCGAAGACTCAAAATCAGAAACTCTATGTTTATTAAGACCTTTAAGGTTATGTGAAATTTCTCGACTTATTTTGCACTGCTAAAACTATCTTACTTTATATCTAAAACTCTTTCATAGTAAATATTAACAAAGGACTTGACTAACTTGCTGTGATAATAAGTTTTTGGAGCATTAATGAGAGGAGCTCTAAGCTGTTAAACTTCACGACGATGAAGGTTTTATTCAATTCCACAGTACATCTTAAAACCGGCTATGAAAGTTAAAACTTAAGAAAAAGTGTATTATCATTTATATATCATTAAATATTTTATGTATAATTTAATTAAATATAGATTATATGATAGGTACACATTTATTTTATAGAAAAATTATAAAATTGACTTTTAGAATGTTTGAGTCCTAAGACGCAGTTGTTTATTAAAGTAATTACTTTTGTGTTAAGTACCTAGTAATTGCATTATTAATCCTTGGTGGAGGTTAGTCGTTCGTCCGTGGATGGGTTCGCTCTCTGGCGGTTACAAACGAGGCTTGTTAACGGTGGGGCAGCCGGTGTAATTTATTAAGTCAGCATTTGCAAAATATATCTATCTGTACTAATAAGAGAAATTGTCTTTATTAAAACTACCATGATCTTTAGTCATTAGATATACATTTTGGATATGAATATAAATTTTGATATTAAACTATACTATTTACTATACTAGAAAAATAAACTTTATTTTTAGGATACTAATAAAAAAAATGCGTGAATATTTTATGCGTTACTAGTCAACTCAATTTGAATTTGAATATATTCAATTAGTGATCACTTTCCTGTTTTCCTAATTTTGCAACATTTAACTCCTAGTATACCCATTTTCAATAAACTTAGGAGTCGCCCAAATTGGACACCTAAATATATGGGCATTATCAAAGGTGAAAATATGTTTCACCAATTACAAGGAGCCACGTATATGCAACGCTTAAAGTTAGGACATGCATAGTGCGGCGGCTAGCGTTGGGCATATGTGTAATGTGACATATACATTTACTCTTCGACTATAACGGATGTGTCAAGGAATAAAATTTATTTAGTAAGTTAGAATCAAGGAGTTTATATATTTGAATTCTATCCTATTAATATTGTAAATGTGTAAGTTTCTTTGTTTGGATGTTTATCTGTTAATCACGCCTTAAATTTGGTATACAGATACTGTTAAATTTGGTATACAGATAGGGTATTAGCTGACGTAGATAATAGAATACTTTTTATCCCACTAAACATTTCCTTAGGGACCGCGCGGGCGAAAGCTAATTGAGATATAAATAATGAGATTTTTTGAATTTTCAGTCTTTTTATAAATGCCAATGACGACTTGTATATTAAATACACACGTTAATTATTATTCTAGTTAAGCTATACCTCGTTCTAAATTAGTGAAAACGTGCATTTATTCATAGCGTGATATTATATAGCCTTCCTCAATAAATGGATTTTTACCACAAAAATATTATATATTATAATAAAATCATGTATTTGGTGTATCATACTCTTGGGGATGAAATTTTTTTTAAGAATTTTTCATTAATAATATTTTCCAAGATAGCATTGTGAATAGAAAATTGATCAATTAAATAATTTTTCATTTGAAACCGAAGTTACTGAGATCAGCGAGTTCAACCAAACAACTCAATAACAACTTTTTAACTTTATAATATTCGTTTAAATTTTCAGGGGTCTGTACTTTAAAGGGGCATAATGAATCTTTTAGTAATACAGGCGTGTCCGTCTGTTACAGCCGATTTGTTCCTGAATTACTGGATCGATTAAGGTGAGCTTTGGTCGTATTAAGTCGGTGATCCAAAGTTCCATTTTTAAAAAGAAGACTATTTTTTGGGGATGAATAAAATAAGGATATTTTACAAAATTATACGCTGCACCTATAATATAAATGCAAATAGACTGCATCTAAGATTCGAAACTACGTCTGTCGTTATTTTGAGAATAAGCGTTTTAAGCGAGCTTAAGTTTAATACTCTTTCTATTAAAAAAATAAATACATTGATCCAAATTGGACAACATCAAATGGACCTCCAATTAAGTAGCAGAAAAAATGAAGTACCACACAGGGGAAACGAACCCGTGACCTTGAAATTGGCAACTTTCAATTCGACTACAATACACAAAACATTGTAGAATTTTACAATGCCTGACACAATCTATACATAACTTGTGGTCAAACAATTATTATGGAAAATCGAGTAGTTACAAGATTGAAAATTAATATTTCCCTAAGTGTTGAAACATCTAACCCTGCTTACTGGATCTCGAAGAGCAGCGACACCAAATACGAACGAATTAATAATGAAACAAAGCGGCTTATATTTCATCGAGTCAGTGGCCAAAATAGACCTTACATGCAAGAGATAAGATCTTAATTGGGTGGCGTGGGGTTAGTATTTAGTGCAGGGTGGATGCGCCCGCGGCACACTGCGTCAGTGAAGCTCTTTGTTTGAACTGAAGAGCTGACTCTAATAGCTTGCAGCGGATCTGCGCTTAAAAATGGACTTTTAAATATTTTATGAGGTAGCGGGCGGAATAAAAATGGTGGATATCCACATGATACATACTGCGCTAGTATACGTTAGACAAAATAAATTATATTACAGTGAGTAAGCAAATTATGGAGTGTTGTAATATGTCGATTTCAATTATTCAAAGACATTTTTTTATACTTGGGGAAATAATAGATACATTTAAGTTACTATCCTAAATGGTGCCATCTGCGGGTCTACGTTCTAATTAATTGAAATTTAAATCATTATCACTGGTGAATTGATGCGTAATGGATCATATATAGGTCGTTAGTCAACAAGTGAATAATCGCTTATAGAAATACAGAAATTGGTTTGTAGTGTAAATCATTATCAGTCTACCACTAGGCCAAAGATTTTCCCTTAAGATGGAACGGAATAGGGAGAATAGGCTACGACGTGACTTCCGAAAGTTTTTGGTCACACATTTTATGACTGGCCCCGGTGAAAGTTACTTAATTTCCGCATCGCAGACTGAACGCCATTGAGCTATCTACATGAGCCATAAAATTTTGTGCTCGAAATAGATTTTGCTTGACTTATGAACTTTGGCTACAAGTTACGACTTGTTAAATAATTCATTAAACTAGTGGTCGACCAGTGGTCGAAATTCTACCATAATAAATTTCAATTTGTAGTTATTACTGAAATCGAAAATCTTTTGACATTCAGTAAGGCAAACATCACAAACATATAAATAGATGTCTATGGTAAACATATAAAATTTAACACTGGCTAAATGCACAAACCCTGCGAATGCAATATTCAAAAGAAACAAACAAACTCTACGTCAAAAGAAACAATTTGACCAGAGTATATGTATGAGTGTAGCAAATACTTGTTTGTGTGTCTCATAGTAGTGTGTGTAATGTTTTATTTATCGATTTAATGTACTTTATAAGCATTATTATTGAAAAATATTAGCCGTTTGCACTTCTATAAGTGTGATATAAACTATAAGTGTGCCAAATTTCATATTCCTCCGTCCTCGCAATTTTCCTAAAAAGGGATCCAAAGTTTTTGCTTCACGTATTAATATATATCTTTTCACATTCACATTTTAAATTCACGAGTTGTTAAAATGTGATTTCAAAATCGAATCAACTCAATTTTAATCCTTATTTTCACGAGTGAAAGTTGCGATCTGTAAAAATATCCTTGTAAAATAACTCTAATTGATTCTATGTCAATCTTACTTAATGTCACAAAAATAAATTTTGATATTTCAGTGGTTACCTGTCCTCACTGCTGACAAAAATGCCTTCTATACAGATAAACAGAAAGCATAGGTAAGCAGAATAACGTGGGTGTATAGCGAATAGGTGGTAATCAACGATTCAAAAGTCAAACATGCTTTCCAAAGCATGGAGGAGCTTGAAATAATAAATGTTTGGTCAATCATTCAGTTCCTATTGAAATATTTGACAGGCGGTCGATAAATTCATGCAATATGATTTCATAGAGTTTTATTCCACATTTATTTAAAACGGGGCGTCGGTCGCATACGAAAATGATCGTAATAATCGGATATATAAGGTTATATTTTCTATATTTTAGATTTATTACTCGTCATATTAGTTATGCTATTTTTGACTTGATTGGCTAGAATCGTACAAGCAAACAATGCGATTTCGACTCTCACATCTTTTAAAGTCACTTAAGGTTTATAATAGCGTTTGAACAATACATGGACGGTGATCTGTTGGATTTGTGATCGGATAGTAAAAGTTAACAAATCCCTTTTGAAGGGAATTAATTGGTCATCCATCTTCATCTCTCAACTAGTAGTCGATAAAGCGTTGATTGCAATAAAACTGTTGAAATAGCGTACTATCATTACTCTGACGAGACGAAAGCAACGTGTGATGTATAACATCTATTCTAACACAATTGGATCGCCACTAAGAATGCTTTAGGATCCCTGGCCCACACTTGTATAACTGGTACTAACCTCTTGTACCAGTGAAGTTCCAATCAGCCGCGTCATGTGTGTGCGTACTGTGAGCGTATGGAGTACGCCTCGAGCGGTTACCAGCCGCCCGTCCACGCTCTTCTGTCACTACAAACAAAATAATCATTCAATCTAGACTTAAAGACTTGCTTTGAAATTTTATAACGAAATTCCCACTTGATTTTTCTATAACTGTAAACTTTCAAAATTCATGAGCTTAAAATGTTTACCTAGTAGATTTAACTATTCCAATTTTCTTAGTCGTGCACTCTTGACTGAATGGTCGTGGTCATGTCGATGTGGAATTCTGTGATATTTAAGGAGGTAGCAATCGTTGCACACAATGAGAACAAAGCATGGTCATAATTAATCAAACCGTTGAGGTTTAAAGGCGCAAAACTGTTTTGTAAATCTTATATTGTTATTTAATAAAAAAAAAACAGCCACTAAAAGCTTCTTGTTTGGCAAAGACCAACCGGCTTTACAAGCATTGCGAAGCATCAAGCATTAGTGAAATTTCGGTAACCCATTAGGGGAGCGATTCTGTAAATATCTGAATCTGAATTCGAATCGCGTCAGTGTATAAAATTTATAAATTCCATATTTTGTATGAAAATAATAAAACAAAAGTGATTGACTATACGTGTTTCAGATATTCTATCACTATATCGTTCAGAAACTCACTTCACCTATGCCATGAAACCTTACACTAATTCAAAGTTTGCAGAAAAACTGCAGCAGTAAGCTGTTTCAACTGCAAAGTGTGCTAAATAACAAACTTTTGTTTCCTTAAATTATACTAAGTGTGATCAGAATGTTCGAGTTATAGTTTAGCCTAAGTATACGTATACTTTTAACACGTAAAAAATTCAGGAACATTTAACTATGTTCATAAACTGTTGAGGGTTTAATAACACATACATACCTAATATATAAAACTGGAACTTTAATTCACCATTTATGAAATACGATATATTTATGGGATAATGTGAATACATTATTTAGAAATACTTACTGAGAAAGGTTTACTTTATGGTCTATGTTTACTACATGTTTTATATATAAATTAAATTTATAGATCTTTCTACAGCATTGTGTAAAAAAGCTCATACAGGCTTCAATGCCAAGTTAATGAGATAGCCTAGGGCCGGCTAGTTGCCTGCGGTCATCACAAATAATGCCTTTCTGAACTTTGTACACAACATTCCTTAGAAAGAGGAAAAAATGTAAAAGGTTTTTTAATTAAACGAATGTTGCGCTCTGCGAGAAATATTTCTGTTATGTTGTAAAAGTATTTGATTGAATTAAAAATATTTTAAGAGTTCGTTTGCTTGAATAATTATATTGGCCATATAGTATTTTCTTGTGTAGTTAAAATTACATTAGGGTTACAAAATATTTTTTAAGTTCCAGCAGGCATTTTCTTCAAAAAAATATACACAGAATCAATTGCGAGGAATCTGACGTGCTACAACATAATTTATGATAAACATATAAATTTTGGTGTTTAAGTCATGCAGGGCAAGAGTGCGCACTGTTTATTTTGTTAGTTTCCATTCTAGAAACTAACAAAATAAACGAAATAGAAGTGAGTTAGATTAATAAATTATACAGTATACTCGAGTGTCCTGTGTCCGAGGAAGTACTCAGTGACTACGGTTTACTCTCATACGTTTTAGAATTTAAGAACTAGGTTTTTACGTTATACTTATCCACAGCACACATATTACCTACACAATTTTACTAAAAACTGAAACGAGAATACTTTTTAAACATTCTGTATTGATTAGTAGATAGACATGTTTTTTGTAGAAAAAAATATTCTGGCTATTCATATTTGATATTACATACCATTAAGAAGTTCGGTAGTGCAGTGATTGTTAGGTTTAGTTTACAAATGCGAAGGTTTCAACAACAAAGCAACTTTTGCAAGGCCGATCAACGGATGCGTGTTCTAGTTCCTCTGTGCCTCAGAATACCTATTAAGACGTTGGTTCCAGTGGTTTCGTAATCGTTAAATACATAAATCTGCTATGGGCACACGTAGTGGGAGACGGCTTTATCTCTAGGACTCTACACATGCAGTGCAAACATATACACTTATGATGATAATGATAGCTTACCATTTATTACATATTCTGCTATGCCGTAAGCTTGATCCCTGGTATTGCTTACGAAACACTGATATACTCCCTGGTCATATTTCTGAGAGTTTTTGATATGTAACCTTAGGCCGTCTTCTGACAATTGTATTCTCTCATTAGACTTAACAACTCTAGCGTCGTGTACCCAGTAAATAATCTCTATCGGATGGCCGGACACTTTACACTCGAAGTTCACGTCAGTATTTACTTTTGATCTTAACACTTCGGGTTTTATTCGGACGGATATTGGTTCTAGAACAAATTTAAAATGTTATATTTCCTATTCAGTTTAAGATACTCAGAAATTATATACATACGTATACTTAATTGATACAGATTTGGCTCACTCAGGATTTGACAATTTGTTAAGCTAGAAGATATCTACTTATAGGTTTTGAAATAACAACGACATTAAAAAGTCCACATACATAATCATTAAACACCTAAAATTAACTAGAATTGTCTTTATTCATTTCTATATAACAGTAAAGATATTAAATGTTATCTCTGTTTCTTTTTCTTCAGGTAATACAATATCTGCACGAGATTATAAGAATAATAAGTATACATCTTGTATATATTTACTTATTAGGAATCTTGAAAGGACATGGAATATTACAACTATATATCTATTTTAACATTATGATATGGATAAATTCGATCCAGTATTGAACTTAAAGTCTTACTCAGCGTTGTAGCTAATGATTACGTTTGTACTTATAAAATGTATCTATGTTCCGATACAGTAAGCCTTATATCATGAGTCCTAAGTATAATTTACCTGTGACAATAACAGTGAAGTGTACGGATTCTCCGCCGACGGTGTTGTTTAGCCAGCAGACAAAACGGCCAGCGTCTTCCCTCCGTATTCCACTGATGCTGAGGAGGCCGCCCCCGAAAAGTTTCACGCGCGGCCAAGTAGAACTCTTCTCTATGGGCACTAATTGTTCGTGATGCTCCCGAAACCACCTGATTAACAGTAAAGTATATTATTATATTTGATTAGCTGTTTTAGTGGGACTTTCCCCCGCGTATGTTATAGTCTATTTCACCCACGTGTGATGGAGGTTCCCGTAGGTGTGTACGAATTTAAAAGAAAACTCTGTCGAGTAGTGTCGGAGTCCAGCCTATTCAATAAAAATAAATAAATATCCAAATATTTTCTTAGTATAATATTAATATAAAGAAGAACTGTATAATACTTGTATAGCATCCATGGCATGGTTTTAGGTTTGAAATATAAAAAAAGTATTTGTTGTTTTGTAGTATTTTATTCTTTTATCATGTAGTTAGTATTATTTATAAGTAATAACATGGAATAGGATTACGCTCCATGGCGAAGTGGATAGCGTGATCGGTCTGCGATGCAGTCGGTAAGCAACTTTAGCAAGTGCAGAGGATGGGTGACCGAAATCTATTATTTTGATCTCGTCCGTGCTTCGGAAGGCATGTTAAACAGTCGGTCTCAGATTCATATGCAGTTGCAAACGAATCAAAGCGAATTCTCTCTATTCGCTTTGATACGTTTCCATCGACTAGGAAGGCCTAAACGCCAGCAATGAGGACATTAATAGTCTGGTAACGAAAAGTTACCCACTTAGTATCGCTAATCAGATACTTTAATTTTAAAATTCAAAGAAACGTTTCGTCTATGCTAGTGAAATTTTAAAGGAATAAAACGGTAATACGAAAACTTCAATGTTCTAAGAACTCGAATGTTCCTTTAGTTTTGAAATGCAACGGGACATTTCATATTCTAAAGAGGTAAAATGACTGGCCATTAAAAACTTTGCATTGTAACAGTTGAAAGCGGAAACTTAAAATGTAGGATGTTCATTAAAATAGAGAGTTGTAATACCTTTCAATAGCTCAATTAAAAAGGATTAATTTTATTTATATATTAATAGGAACCCTTGGTAATTGAATAGGTGTTACATCTACAATTATAAAGTTGATAGCAATTTTAGTTAAATAACGAATATAGTTTTTTTCAATTAAAAGAATGTAAAAAAAGATAAAAAAAAGTAGCTCGGTGGCGTAGTGGATAAGCGCCGCGGCCCGCGATCGTTGTCGTTAAGCAACTTTCGCAAGGGTCGGTCACGGAATGGGTGACCAAAAAGTTATTATCTCGAGCTACTCCGTGCTTCGGAAGGCACGTTAAGCCGTTGATCCCGGCTGCATTTGCAGTCGTTAATACCCTCCAATCCGCATTGGGCCAGCGTGGAGGGTCATGGCCCATCCTCCTTGACCATCCATAAGGAAGGCCTGAGACCCTGCAGTGGGGACGTAAAAGGGCTGATGATGATGATGAAAAAAGATATTAAACTTAACGTTGTAGAAAGAGAATTTATATTTTGTAAACACTATTATAGAGAAATGAAATTTATAGAGATATAATACGTTGAATATAATAGTTTAGAACGTACCGAATGGAATAACAATAGACACTCCATGGCATAAAATCCTAACTGTGGATTAATCTTGGGTAAAAAAACATCTGTTTTAGATAAAACATATCTCTTTTACTGGGTAATTTTACGAAGCGAACAGAGTTTCATTCTAGACTATTTAAAAAGATATTTCAAGCTATATTTATTTTGTTGAGGCGAATAAAAATAGTAATATTTTATAAAGAAAACGGGTCAAAAACGGACGAATTGATCTTATTTGTTCTCTCGTCTATTTTATTTGTGTTTTTATTAATGACAACTGCCGAGTTCAGCCTCGAATTCGTCGTCTGTCGTTTGTTTAGCTAAGTATATTATGTAACATAGGTAATTAACAAAATAATACAAGAGACACTGCGATGACGGTGTATACGTGGGTTCCAAGCTTAAAAGGAAGGCTAAAATATATGTACGCAAACACCAAATTTCATCACTACTTCGGGGTGGAATTTCCAAAAAATTCATGCGTTCAGTAGAAGCATATTAAACTATATTTAAACAGGTTTGGTTAGATTAAACTATGTTTGCGCGGAATATAGTCCCCTCGGGGCCCATACCGTGCTGCGTGTGAGGGATATCACTGAGTTTTAGTGGGTATACCCCTGCTCTTTGTCTAGCCTTTCGGGGCTGGTCCGCAGGGGAGACTCTCACATGATCCGTGGAGCTCGGGCAGGGTGAAGCGGGTATGCGTAACGCATTTCTTTACGTCAAAAAAAAGGTTAAAGTACAACAAATAACGCATGAGCCGAGCGAGCAAATGGAGTGTGCCGCGGCAGCGACCGGAGAAGTGCCAGGAGCGAATCGTAATTGTAAAATGAAACAGCTAGTTAAACCAATTAATGCTCAGAACGCGTCGTGGCTTTTCTTCATTGTCACGACGCAAAGAGGTCGAATAGCATTTCAGTCACAACACGGATTTCGTTGCGGCTATTCTACGATTGCCACAATGCGTCGTGAGCATTTTCATTCGCCATAACACGAATTTCGCTATGTGGTTAATCTTAGATTGCCACAACGCATTGTGAATTTTTTCGCTCATGAGCGATTTCGATTTTTGAGCGTAACAGATACATTAAAAGTTTAAAGAACAAAACAATAAAGGAAGAAGATGAACGATGCACATTTACACCCTTTTGGTGATATACCCACATTACTTACTAAAGTACTTCTTTGGTGAATAATGTACGACCTGAATGTCGCTGTTACAGTTTAAACTGTCGTTATAACTTCACCAATCTGACTTCGCGGCAGTTATCACGGAATTATATCTATTAGGAAGTCGTTCCTCGATTTGAATAGGTAAACTCCCGGTTTGTGTTTATAGAATTGTCAAACAAATACACAGCGCAAGTTCAGTGTGGACCCGGTGCTCAGTTGGTGCGGTCTCTTCGTTACACAATGTGGGGAAACTTTTCAGGTCCCCAAAGTTCGCACTTTATACGGAATTCCGAACGGAAGTTGAATCTTAGCTCTGTAATGTTTTATTCGCATTATTTCATTAAATTATGGATCTTTAAATATATCTATTGAAAACAAAAGTTTTGCGTGAATTGTACGAACGATTTGATTCAAAATCGAAAAGGATTAGGTTATTGTTCGACGGTGATGTATGTTTTACTGTTTTCTATTTTATTTAAGTGTTAAAAATCATTTTGAGCAAAACTTCGTCACAAAAGTATATTTGAACCACACAATAATTTTGTAGCAGCTTCACAAATGAACGGTAATGCAATTTGGTGGTGAAACCAAATTGCTCCTTGGCAATAAAAGGATCACGTCGCTTTGGGATTATAAAATGGCGGAGACACGCGTCAAAATGGCGGCCCAACATTATTAAATGAGCACGTCACGTATATGAGCGGATTAAATTTTAATTGCAGTTTTAACGTTCTAGTTTGGCAAATTTATACATTGTGAGAACTTTGAAACATCAACCGTGCTGTTACATTTGATTCTGGAAAGTTTTCCTATTATAAAGAGATCACTGTTTGTAAACACGTGTATCTATGACTAAAAGTAGATTAGATACTTTGACAGTTATCGGGTTTTCTGTTATAAGTTTCCAAACAATCAATAATTGGGTTATTTCAGGCAAAAAATACAAGATTCTTTATTTCATTGGACGAGTATGAAATCCTTTTAAAGGATTTATAGATACTTCTTTTATAGGTATGTTCAGATAAAATATTGATACAAAGGGATACTGTCATTAAAGGTTTGCAATTTTAAGTGGTATTCAGTGGTGCGATAGGTTAGGTGACAGATGGCTCTCCATTCATAGTGGGCGGCAACACTGAACAATAGGTGAATTATAAGCGTGGACAATGGTGACGCTATCTAGAACTGGAGACGAGCCAATTAGGTGTTTATGAGGCTGCGCAAGCCAATTGTGATAGCCTTTTCATGAGGGGGCATTAGCTTCAGAGGTTTAGTTTAAATAATAATTATTAAATTAAATGGTTTATTAAATGTATAAAAAGGTAGCCTATATTTATCTGGACAAATAATGTAACTTTCGAATGGCAAACGATTTTTTTATAATATCAATCATTGCAGATATTCTTAAAATCGCAGTTATGTTTTATTAAAATGTAGATGGTATTATTACCTTTTTATTGACAACATATGAAATGCTATTAATTCTGTTATGCAGGAAATTTTAGGTTTTAGAAGTCAGGCAGAGAGAGGGAATTGCTCTTATTGTATAATTTATAAGTGAAATTTGAACTGTTTCAACAGGTATCCTTCTGAGTGTAAGTTACAGTTTAAGAATAAATATCTATGAATTGAATATTTAACCTTTCTAATATACTAAGAATAAGCTACAGGATAGTTAACAAGACTCATGCATCCATTTCTAGTGGCATAGTTTCTAAACAATAGACGTGAATTATAAACGGACAAAGCCGACATAATCGCGCCTGTGGCTGGGCCGCGGCCAACTAACCGTATAGACTCAACTTCCTTGTATATAATAAATTAATCTGAATTAACTACTAATATATTGATATGCTACTCATACTGCTTTCAGTATCTACTGCGTTAGACAAGTGAAGTATGAGCATTCGACAGGAAAAATGTAGAATGATCATAGTTCATTTCTGCATACTTGTCTGCTAGCATGTTCGTCTAGTGAATTCAATGCTTTAGTGATTGATGTAAGCATAAACCGTTGCAAATCTGTTGCACGTTTTTATCTAATACGATAACGGTCTACACAATTCGTCATCCTCTGTCCCTATTTATATAATTACTGGGATTAATATGATAGACAAGGGAAGCCTTTTGGTTTTACATCTGCTTTTGACAATAGGGATGATGACTTATTTTTGTTTGTTTGCCCGTCAGGTAGAGTGTTAAAAAATATTAAACAGAATGGAAGATCTGTTAGAGTTAGTCAATAAAAAGATAGAAAAAATACATGAGAAGAGGAACTGAAAGCTGAGATGTATAAAGAAAAGTGCAAAGGAACTGGAAGTATCTT